GGGGGAAGGGAGGGAGTACTGGCCACACCCCGGTTACCAGGAGTAAATGGGGAACAAGGGAGAACCATATCCCCCTTGCCACCAGCCTCCTGCCCCTTGCTTCCAGGTGGCTGTATAGACAGCTGCAGAAGGAAGCTCAGTATGGCCATGCAGCTGCTGGCCAGCAGAGCATCAGTCCGCTTGCTTCCCTTGGCTCTCATCTCACTGCTCCTGTTCGTCTGCCTTTACCAGTCGGCACTCAGTCCATCTCTGTCCTCTGCTCTGAAGCTCAGGGTTCCAGGATCACCATCCATGTCTGTGTCATTTGGTCTCCCATGTGTTGGTTGCAAAGGATCTTCTCAGTGTGTCGGCCTACTCCATACTGCACTATCCTGCCCCAGCACTCTACAATCCTAATTTTAAGAGATACATTAGCTCTTCACTGAACATGCTCTTTGCATGAGGTTCTGGGAGTTCAGTGGCAAAGAAGATGTCACAGTCGCTTCACAATCTAGCAGGAATTGTAAGGGAAGGAGAAACATCTGATTCTTTGGGCGTATATGAGAGAAAGTCAAAAAGTATTGCAACAAAACCATAGACACCTTTATGAAATGAAAATATCCAAGTGTGAAGCTATTGTTTCTCAACATCTCCTCCAGCTAGGTCTATACACTTCTGAAGGTGGTCTTCCCACCTCTGTAACCCTTTCCTGAAGAATTCTGTGCTCTTCAGTTTACACCACAGCAGTTCTGGCATTCTTGAGGGACTCAAGCAGTATTACTTTTAAATGTCCTTTGAGTTTGAGGAACAAAAAGAAGTCTGAAGGGCCAAGATAAGGGCTAGAATCGATGGGGTAAGGTTTCCCAACTAGAAGAAATTCTTATAGGACAGCCCTTACTCCCTCAAAGAATGAGTAGGTGCATTGTTCTGATGGAAACAGATTCCTTGATGCACCTTTCCTGGTCCTTTTCTTACTAGTGCATATTTCAATTTCCTTAAACCTTCTTTGGAATAATCCCCCATAATCATTCTGTGTCCTTTGAGAAAATCTGCCAAGATGATTCCTTTGGAATCCCAGCAAAGAGTTGACATAGCTTTCTGGGTGGACCCCGCTGCCTTGAATTGAACTGGCCCTGCAGATCCTCTGGGAAGCCACTGTTTTGATTGGTGTTTTTTTTGTTTTGTTTTTAAGACACCCTACTGTGTCTAAGACTAAGACATCTGTACTACTAAGACATGTATATACTGAGAGAACTTGTCTGCAGCCGTCCGCTGATCACAGAGACGTGTTTAAACACGTTTTGTTTGGAATAAACCTGTGCATGTATGAACTGGAACCCTAGGAGCTGTGCTTTTTGACTTACCCTGGTATAAGAGGAGGGTCCTACCAAGGTCTGAACCAGTATGGACATTGCTTTCCTGTGTGGTCTAGTCTATGTTTTGTGTATAACTCATCTCTGTATTTGTAGTGGGAAATGTCGGGTTCCAGCCTGGTGTGACCGAATTCTTTGGAGAGGAACAAATGTTAATCAGCTTCATTACCGGAGCCATATGGAACTGAAAACCAGTGACCACAAACCTGTTAGCGCTCTCTTCAACATTGGGGTAAATCCTTGTTTGTTCGTTCATTTGTTTGTATGCTAAGAATCTATCCTTAGAGTGTGATTTAGTCTCGCAATAGATCAGAAATTCAGTGAACCATAAATATTGCCATAACCAATAATCATTTGCAGCATTAAGAAATGAGTTCTCTCAACCCTCTTAAATATCTCTCCAGACCTTTTAATGACACATGTGTTTCTCATGCTGTGTAATGGTTGGGCAGTAACCTTAGCCTTCTAAAGTTATGATGCATAAGGAAGAATGATAGGCTCGGTTTTAACGGAAAAAGCATCTTCTCGTCAGACAAGGTGGGGAGGGAGTGGTTTTAGGTATGGGGGAGAGACTAGCAGGAGCAAAGACATAGGCTAATCAGAATACAATGAAATCTATATAGCGGGGGACTTCAGAAAGTTCAAGGGCAAATTCCATTGTCTTTTAATTCCATCTGTACATGAACTTTTGGAAGTCCCCTTGTATTACCTTAAGAGGAGGTCTGATGAATCCATAAACATGTCTTCTTTTTTTTTTTTTTTTTTTTGGTAACTGTCTTGCATTGTAGTTGGGTTGTTGTTGTAAGTGGTTCTGACCCATAACAACAGCAACCATAGGGTTTCCAAGGAGCAGCTGGTGAGTTTGAAGCACCGACCTTGCGCTTCACACCAACCTTGAGGTCGAGTGCTTATCCTACAGTGCTTCATCAGGACCATAACTGGCCATGTTTTTGTCTGTTGTAAGAATGTATTATTTCCCATTGTGTTTTCTAGCTGTGTGCTACTGGCTTGCAGGTTATCTGTTGTAGTCTTTGAGGGGGCTTCTAATAATTTGTGGGGGAAAATCCATTACCCTCCCATTTAAATTTGTCCATGAACTTTTGAAGCTCCTCTCGTAATTTATTATAGCCACTGCATTGAGATGGTTTCTTTTGGATTGTCCAGACCTATGGACATGTAATGTGTCAGAACTTGTGGACTTAATAGGCTGGCTTTATCATTAGATGCTTGGATGTGAGTCCTATCTCAGTCATTTCCTAACTGTGTAACCATGGAGAACTTACATCAGCTCTGTGTGCCTCCATTTGCCTCTGCTGTGAAAGGGGGCTAATAATGGTACAGAGTTGGAGGATTCATGAGGTAGTTCTAGCAGGATCACTTTGTTTCCTCTGGCAACTGAGATAGGGATCGCCAGCATGTCTTGCCCTGCTCCTGTTTCTAGAAGGAATGACTTTGGGACTTAGCTTTTAAGTAGAGAATTCGTTTTTGGTCTTAGATTTTAAATTTTATTGAGAGTCATGGACTTGATTTTTGCCCATTTTGAAAGTTGAAATCATAATGAATAACACTAAGTAAGTATGCCTCAAACAGTAGCCAGTAGCCACTATACCAGAGACTGACTACACCGGACAGCTTGTACATGTCATTTACTCCTCACAACAATGCGTCAAGTAAAATTTGTCCCATTTCCATTTAACAGATGAGCAGAGGGATAACTAGCAAGTCTAAATGACTTATTTACTAGTATCCAGCTAGAAGGAGAGCTGAGATATTCACATCTGAAGTCTGTTAAACTCCCAGGCCTGCACTCTGTACACTATCCCACAATATCGCTATAGCTCGAGAGAACTTACTTGGTTAACAACTAGATCTTCAGATACTATTAACCCATGTAAATTCTAGTTGGTATTTGTGGCTTGGGAGCCCCGATGGCACACTGGTCAAGCATTTGCCTGGGAACTGACAGTTCCGCAGGCTGCTTCCATAAAGATCCCAGCGTTGGAAAGCCTCTGGAGCACTCCTCTCTGTCCTGTAGGGTTGCTCGGAGGCGGAGTCCACTCGATGGCACTGGGTTTGGGTTTTGGATTTGTGGGCTGCCCTGGTTTTTGTTTTTTTTTTTCATTTGAATTCTCTTAGCCTGTTTTTAAAAGAATGTCTTTTCCCATACACTGACCGTTTTGGTTCATTTAGCTATGCTTGGCTTTTTGGGTTGTATTTATTTTAAGAACATTGGAATATTTTTAATATTCTATACATAGTAATCCAGAGCCCTCAATAAGACATTTTTTAAAATTCTCAAGCTTTCTATGCAATTTTGTATATCTTTAGTAAAAGTCTACCTTGTTTTGTTTTTGTTTTTAAAGCTTTTATTGTGAATTGAGTGATGGTTTACATGAGAGAGCATCAGTTTTACACTCATCCTATCATATTTCGTTTCATTGCAATGATTACAATCCCCTCCATGCATCATCATTCAACAGTATTTCCTTCTATTCCTTCTGGGTTTATATATATATATATATGTTATTGCTGTTGTTATGTGCCGTGGAGTCGGTTCTGACTCATAGCGACCCTCTACAGGGTTTCCAAGGCTGTAAACAACCCAAGGACACGTTTTGCAATGTTGCCTCCTGACCGCCAGCACCCAGCCTTAAGGTCTTTCTATGAGTCTAGAGTCCTCAGCTGCTCTATCTCTCCATGTCATCATCTCTGCCTCCATCTCTGTTGTTGCTGCTTCTCTGGATAAGGTCCTGCATTCCACTCCTGCTCGTCTCCCTTGGTGGTCCTAGGGTCCTCTGATTCTGGACTATAAGATCAACTACTCCCCGTTTTTGTTATAAAACTTCTACCTTTCCAGTTGCAACAGTCGCAATTAGTCATGGTAACAATTACTCACTGTTGAATTGTAAGAATCTTATCCCCATCTCTTTTCACCAGATCCATGTAGACAAGATGAAAACTATTCAGTGGGGACTCTATCTTCTCCTGCACACTTTTAAACTAAACTCCCTCTTGAAAACTTGAAAGCCAGTCACTTCGTGCCTTTTTCACCCCCTTATTTTAGGTAGCCAGTGTCTAAGTTGCCCATCCCTATCAACCCTGTGTACAGAGGGGGTAGGTTTGATCCTTGATGTGAAGACTTCCTCCCTCTCAGTTGGTATTTTGAGCTACTACATCCATAAGTATAGGTCAAGTTCATCAAATTGTGGCAATTTACACTTGTTTCCTATGTCAAATTTCTTTATCTTCCTCTAATTGAGTTCTGATCATCAAGCCATTGAAGCTAGGTCAAATGGGTACTATGTGCAAGTTTGGGTGTTCTTGTCTGTCTCCCCTCACTTCATATCAGCTGGCCACTTCACTCTCAACTCTAGCCCTCTGTGGCTATCCACCTTGTATTTTTAAAATAATTTTTAGATTAAAAATGCTTTCTCTTAAACAGTTTTTTAAAATTGTGTTTTAAAGAACTTTACATATAAGTACTGAAGTTCTTCAGTACTTATTCTGCTCTCCAGTCTCACCTTTACCTCGACCCCTGCGCCCCAGTCAGGCTACCCATCCTTCTGAGTTTGGGGTCTGTTTTTCTAGGCCAGCACTGCCCAGTCCCGCTTTCTGTGTGGCTGGAGATGTCCTATAGCTTCACTGCCCAGTACACTAATAGCTGCATGTGACTGCTGAGTGCTTGAGGTATGGCTAGCACAAGTAAGGAACTGAATTTTACATTTTATGGAATTCTGAGCCATTTGAGTTGAAGTGGTCATGTGACGCATGCCTGTGGGACAGTAGAGTTTGAAACCTTGGCATATGCTTTTCTTTTTACCCTTAAACAATATACCCATGAGACTGCCTTGTTTTTCCATGTTGCTCAACTTATCCACCTTTGACAGGGTGAAGTCTAACCACTTTTCTGTCACTTCCTGTAACCAGAAGAGATTGGCGTTTTCCTTCTCTGGCAGGTTTCTGCCGTACCCTGGTGCCAGCTTTCATAGGTTTTACTATAGTCTTGTTTCATGTGTACATATGTATATCATAAGTTATTTCATATGGTGTGTGTTGGCCTCAAGCTTGCTTTTTAACGAATGTTTAATTCAACAATTGATCTGGTCCATGTTATTACATAAGAAATAGTTCTTTTGTGGTGGTACTCTTTTCTGAGTTCCTAACATCGTTATAATTTCCTTTTCTAAAATGCACGTATCAGGTGGTGGGGCCCAGTGGTGTTTCCTTCCCCCTTATGAGCCTTGGTGTACCATTAAGTTCTGTGGTCGTGATAACCCATTGAGAAAAGGTTCGGTTTGTACTGGGTAACCACCCCATCTTTTGGAATCTTGGGCATACTGTGATTAGAGGCTTTTAAAACCACAGCAGATTTTAGCACAGTTGGCACCCGTGACTATTGACAAAGACCAGTTCACTTCAGAAGATGTGTTGCGGGGCTGGCTGAGATGAAGTCAGGTGAGTGCCCCCACTCCTGCACTTAGGAATCTGGCTTGCTTCAGTGCGTCATAAGAATTTGGTGGACAGAGGAATTGTTTGTTCTGGTTGTTAAGTGCCTTTGAGTCGATTCAGATTCATAGCGACCCTGTATAGGGTTTCCGAGGAGCAACTGGTAGGTTTGGACTGCCGATCTTGCGGTTAGCAGTCCAGTGCTGAACCTACAGAGCTATGCCAGGACTCCAAGGAATTGTCTGGGAAACTTTTAAAGTTGCAGATGCATGGACCCCAGCCCCGGAGGTGGTGATTAGCAGACCCACGAATCTGAATTTTTTAGCCATTCCTGAGTTGATTTTTGTTGCAGGTAGCCCACAGACCACATCTGGTATTTTGGGCAAGGTGTAGAGAACAACTTTGACATTAACTGTGGCAGTGGACAAGGTCATTGATCTCTTTCTAGCTCCATGCTGTCCACCATCTGAAGAATAATTGTGCTTTGACAACCTCATAGAGTTGCTGGGAAAATAAAATGATATTTGTTAAAGATTTTTTTTTCTTTTCTTTTCTTTTCTTTTTTTTTTAACTTTTATTGTGAATGGAGTGATAATTTACATGGAAGAACATTGGTTTTGCAGTCAACCATTTATCAATCCATGCATCATCATCAGTTAACAGTATTTGCCTCTAGTCCCTCTTTTTTTTTTTTTTTTTTAATTTAAGGTTTTTATTGTGGATTGAGTGAAAGTTTACAGGGCACATCATCAGTTTCACATTCAACAAATCATTACATTGATTATAATCCCCTCCATATACCATGAGTTAAAAGTTTATTTCTCTCTATCCACTTTAGCTTTAAAAAACACACAAGCAAAAAAACCCACTCAGGCATATATAATAATTTACATCTCCAAAGGGCACATTCTGCAAGTCTGCTCCTGGCCACCAGTTCTTAGTCCTTCTCTTCTTAGCTGATGAAGCTAGAGTCCTCAGCCGCTCCCCCTCTCCATGCCCTCATCTCTGCCTCCATCTCTGGTACTGCTGCTTCTCTGGATAAGGTCCCGCATTCTGCTTGTGCGTTCCTCTCTTAATGGTCCTAGGGTCCTCTGTTTCTCGACTGTAAGATTAACCACTCCCTTTTTTTGTTACAAAACTTCTACCTTTACAATTGTGACAGTCGCAATTAGTCATGATAACTGTTGAATCTTACGAATCTTATCCCCATCTCCTTTCACCAGACCCATCTAGACAAGATGATAGCTATTCAGTGGGGACTCTTTCTTCCCCCCCACACTCTTAAACTAAGCTCCCTCTTGAAACCTTGTAAGCCAGTCACTTCGTGCCTTTATTGCCCCCTCATTTTAGATAGCCAATGTCTAAGTTGCCCGTCCCAATATACCCTGTGCACAGAGCGGATAGCATTGATACTTGATTTGAAGACTCTGTCCCTCTCTGTTGGTATTTAGAGTAACTACCGCTCTGAGTATAGGTCAGGTTCATCATGAAGATGTATCTTCTGTCACTGTAGCTGTTCCAGTCTGCTTGTCCTTTCTAGTGGGAACGTCTCACCTCACAAGGTTGTGGATTGGACTCAGGATTCCACCTAAGGTCCTATACTCTGTAAAGGCTTTGCATGAGGCCTATTTCACTGGGCAAGTTGTAGAACCCCTTTTAGGTATTCCAATCAGTTATAGACTGAAGGCGGGTTTACAAGTTTTCTCTAATCATGTTTCCCAACATTCCTTTCTATGCCACTCAAGTGTCTATTTTACAATAGTAAAATAGACACTTGAGTGGCATAGAAAGGAATGATTTTAGTATTATTTACCATCTCCAAGCTATACCTAGATCCCTGTATCCCAGAGCCCTGTTGTTCCAAGGTTGAGTATGCATCACTATTTATCTCTGTCCCACTAGGCCATGCAAACCTGTCTCAGTGTTCCCCTATCTATCTTGTTCTTCTCCCTCCTCCCCCCTTCTTTTATTGCCCTCTCCCAAACCCAACACCCAAACTAAACCCCCACCCCAACCCCATTGTGGTTAACTTATATTCCATTAGTTCTTCCCTCCATTTAAGATAGTCTATTTTAACCAGTAATCTATGAGCCTGCTTGGTTGGGTATTCTGTGTTGTTGTTGGCGGAGCTCTTTGCTACACATCCACCCAATCCACCATCTTGTTTGTTCTCCCCTAAAGATTTTTTTTGAAATAAAAACTTGAAAAAATGTTGTCAATGTAGAAGATACTGTTCACATTTAAGCTACAATCCATCTTCGCTGAACACCGAGTCTAGTGACACTCAAGTGGTTGCTTGAGCCTCAAGTCCCTGACAGTGAGGTTGTGTGCTCAACTTTGATGTTCTGATAGTCTGTCCTTGCTTAGAACCTCTGCTGCATACATGCATCCTTTTGTTTCTTTTACATGGATTTTTGTGAGGTCTTCTATTCTACTCAGGAACTAGTATGTCAATAAAGTGCTATGTTAATTTTGTTCATTCTTGGCATCAATTTGTATGAAGTTTTAATAATAAAAGGAAACAAATATCAGGAAGCCTAAAGTGCTGGCTGAGGGGGCAGTTTGGGCTCTGACAGTCAGATAGTCAAGGTGATTCGTTTGTTAGTCGTAATGATTTTGCTCAGCGGGTTCGCGGGAGAAAGATGAGGTTTTCTGCTCCTGTACAGATTCATAGCCTCAGAAACCCTATATGGGGTCGCTATGAGTCGGAATCAACTCCACGGCACACCACCACCACCACCAGGCTGTTTTATGTCAGCTGTTTTCTACAATGACCATAGGTTCCATTGATTCGCATACCTTTGCCGTGATAGAATCTGCTTGTTGATGTGGTCGTGGTTGGCATTAGGCATAGCAGGTAACCAGTTCAGTCCTTTAACCATTAGTTTCTTTATGAGAACCAGTTAGTAGATGTGTTTTGACACAGTCAACTTGTACAATGCAAGAAGTCATTTTTACCACAATTAAAATGTTTTTTCCACCACTAAATAATTTCGCAGTAAAGCAAGAAAATATTTTTTCCAAAGTGTGCATTATTGTCTAGCTTCTTAACATAGACACTTAGCTTGTCCAGGGAGTTAGCCAATTAATCTCACCTACTTTTAAAAACCTTAAAATGGGTGCTTCTATAGTTCTTTGTTTAATATATGATTTTAAATTATGATTGCCTTAGTGACCATTTAGAAATTGCTAGACAGTCTTGTTGTTGTTAAGTGCCCATAGTGATCCTGTACAGGGTTTCCAAAGCTGTAAATGTTTACGGGAGCAGAAAGCCTCATCTTTCTCCTGTGGAGCAGCTGGTAGTTTCAAACTGCTGACCTTAAGGTTCGCAGCCCGATTGGTAACCACTACGCTACCAGAGCTTGGCGATCTATAAATTGAGTGCACATAACGCTAAGCTCAAGGAGCTCTGGTAGCGTAGTGGTTATGAATCAGGCTGCTAACCTCAGGGTCATCAGTTCGAAACTACCAGCTGTTCCGCGGGACAAAGATGAGGCTCGTTCTGCTCCTGTAAAGATTGACAGCCTCGGAAACTCTGTACAGGGTCGCTGAGTCGGAACCGACTCCACGGCACATAACAGCAACAACAAACGCTAAACTCAGGACCTGCTTCCTTTCAGGTGAAAGTGTGACTGCACTGTGATGTCAGAGAGTGTTGGCGAACGTTGCTCCCACCACAGTTTTTTTCAATGCTTTCTGTAATGACCACTTTAACTTGTTATGTGATCCCAGAGGGCGATGAGCTAGGAGCATGGGATACTGGACACAGGGTGTGTTGTCTTTCAGGTGAAGGTTGTGGATGAGCGGAGGTACCGGAAGGTCTTTGAAGACATTGTGCGCATCATGGACAGAATGGAAAATGACTTCCTTCCTTCCTTAGAACTCAGCAGGAGGGAGGTGAGGAAAGATATCCGTGGCCTCCCCTCTTCTGTCCATCTGATTTAGAGAAAGCACTGCAGCCGTGTGCATTGGAGTGGACCTACCTCTAGGCAAATCCCAGCACTGCCATGTAGTAGGCGTGGGACCACAGGCCTCGGTTTGCTCCCTTGGAGCTGCAGTTTCCATTTCTGGGAAAAGGGGTGGCTGTTAGGACTACAAGGAGCCCTGGCGGTGCTGTTGGATAAGCACTGGTCTGCTAACTGCAAAAGGCAGCCATTCCAACCCACCAGCAGCTCTTCAAGAGACAGATGAGGCTTTCTGCTCCTAGAAAGATTTGCAACCTGGGAAAGCCTATACACAGTTGCTATGGGTCAGAATCTACCCGATGGCGTTGTGTGGTTTAGACTGGTGTGAGTTCCTGCATGTTGGGGCTATTAGAACAATGCCTGGCAGTTAGTAAGCCCATGCTGGCTACTCTTATTGAATACTTCAGAGTTGCTGGTTGGTTCAGCTCCCAGGAAATGGGAATTGGTCCCAGGGTCAGGATCCAGAAAGAAGAGAAATAGCAATCACTGGAGAACTCCTCCTTGGTCAGTGTGGGCATAGCCGTAGATAAAAGTAGGCGCTGTGAAGTTGGTGGGTTAGTGCCTCACTCTTTATTCCTATTCTCTATGGAATAACCTGACTGACAGACTTCCCCAACTCGTGATGCATGTCTGTGTCTGTCTGTTGTTCCCCAGTTTGTGTTTGAGAATGTGAAGTTTCGGCAACTACAAAAGGAGAAGTTTCAGATCAGCAACAACGGCCAGGTTCCCTGCCATTTTTCTTTCATCCCTAAACTTAATGACAGCCAGTACTGCAAGCCATGGCTTCGGGCTGAACCTTTTGAGGGCTACTTGGAGCCAAGTGAGTTTTCCTTTACCATCGTATCTGCTTGCTGTTACCATCCTCTCCTGACTCCTACATCCTCTCCTGTTTTTAACTTCTTGTTTTCTAACCACGTCTCTGACCTTCACTGCTCATTGTATTTGCCATACCTCTGTTGCACGTCTAATCTCTTCCCTTTCAGTGCTCAGTGGTTTTTTTCAGACCACTTTTTCTGTTGATTCTCATGCCCTGTGTTTCCTTTTCCACTGGAAGTTTCTCTGTTACCAGGTACCATTTCTTATATTTCAGATGAGACAATAGACATTTCCCTTGATGTATATGTCAGCAAAGACTCTGTGACCATCCTGAACTCAGGAGAAGATAAGATAGAAGATATTCTTGTCCTTCACCTGGACCGAGGCAAAGATTACTTCTTAACTATCAGTGGAAATTACCTCCCAAGTTGCTTTGGTACATCCTTGGAGGCTCTGTGTCGAATGAAAAGACCCATCCGAGAAGTTCCTGTTACCAAACTTATAGACTTGGTAAGATGCATCCTTTAGATTTGACTCTCACCAGGTTTATGTGATGTCCTCAGTGTCTCTGCACGTTCTCTTTTCTTTGGAACAATCAAGTGATAACTAAGAATGTCACTTTAGCACAATTTGGAAGCTAGGAGGACAGGGGAGACTGGTAATCTATTGCTGGCTCTTGTCAGGAATGTAATAGATAATGTTAAGCTCACCAAATAAGATTAAAGTCTCCCATGTTAGAGATAAAATTCTTTTTTAAGCTCTTCATACTTTCAAGTCACTTTTGTGTGTATTAACATGCATGTGAATTATGGTAATGGGGGCAGGTGGTCCTGTCTCCATGAAACATGAGAAAACTGAGGCACAGAGACAGGAACTTGCCCCAAATCTAATACATTAATGACCCAGACTGTCACCTGGCTTTTCTGAATCTCAGTGAAGTCCACTGCATTATATTGAATCAGAGTAAGGCTTTGTTACTTACTGAGGCCCAAACCTCTCAGAGTCTCACGGTGTGGATTCTGCATCTTATGATTCTAACGTGCGTTCATGTGTGATGTTTATTTAATGTGCTTCATTGAAGAAAGAAATGGAGGATGCCTTCCCCACCACCAAGCCAAGCTCTAGTTTCAGTGTCGTATCAGGGAAGTGCGGATTGTTTTCAGGAACATAAATTGATTTAGTACAGCTCTGGCCTTCTAAATGAAAAGATTGTTGGATTTGTGTGCAAAGCTCTTGGGCTTTTCCAAGAGAAATTGAGGTCGAGTGGCGTCACCACGTTCTTGTTCTCATTAGTCTTCGTGCGATTGTATCATCCACGGTGAGGGCCGGCCCGGCCGCTGGCTTGTCTTAGTGTGGTCTCTTCTGTTGCCATGGCATTGTTTTCAGCTGGGACTCGAAAATCCTGGCATCCAGGCCCTGCATTCTTTCTTGGAATTTACTGGTTTCCCTAGAGCAGGGGTGGGGAACCCTATTCCTGCCAAAATTTATAACATCATTCGAGGGCCATACAAAATTACCAACTTAAAAATCAGCCTGCTGTATTTGGTCCAACATTTAACTCACCCTAATGTGATGGCTGGAGTCCTGGTGTGGTGCTGTGGGTTAGTGCGCTTGACTGCAAGGTTGGTTTGAACTGCAAGATCGGTGGGTCAAACTCACCAGTCGCTTCTTGGGAACCCTACACAGGGCTGCTATGACTCAGAACCGACTTGATGACACGTAACAACAACAACGTGATGGCTGGAACTGCGGTTTCCTTGGCAGGGCCAGACCAAATGACTTCACAGACCTTATATGGCCCACAGGGAGCTCTGGTAGTGTGGTGGTTATGAGTTGGGCTGCTAACCTCAAGGTCAGCTGTTCAAAACTACCAGCTGTCCCACGGGAGGAAGATGAGGCCTTCTGCGTCCATAAAGATTTACAGCCTTGGAAACCCTATGCAGGGTCGCATGCAGGGTCGCAATGAGTCAGAACTAACTCCACAGCATACAGCCACCAGCACCACCACCATATGGCCCACAGCCGGACATTTCCAACCCCGGCCCTAGAGCCTTCTCGACTGAAAGCTCTGTTATCTCAATTCAAGAGAAAACTGTCCTCTTCAAAAATACATATCCTGACATTCTGCTATTTCTCATAAATACCTGTTTTCCTTCTACCACCATATTCCTTCCTGTCTTTCCAATTTAGTATCTCACCTTTTAGGTTACAAAGCATTCTAAATCATGAACTTATTTTCCCTACTTCCTTCCTTCCATCCCATGAGCCCTGGTGGCCCTGCAGGACAAGCACTGGACTGCTAAATGCAAGGTTGACGGTTCAAACCTATCAGCTGCTCCATGGGAAAAAGATGAGGCTTTCTGCTCTCGTAAAGATTTGCAGCCACGTTAACCTTGTATCGGAGTCCTGGCATGGGACTGCTAACTGCAAAGTCTGTGGTTCAAATCCCCCAGCCACTCTTTGGAAGCCCTATTCACGGTTGCTATGAGTCAGAAATGACTACATGGTACTTACCAACAACAAGCCTTATATGGGCATTTGCTATGAGTCAGAATCGACTTGATAGCTCTGAGTCTGGTTTGGATTCCTTCCATCCCAAGCACCATTTGCCAGCCTAATTTTTTCCCAGCTTTTCATTATGAAAACTTTGAAATATACAGAACAAAGATAAGGATAGTACAGTGAGCACCCACGTGCCTTATGTACACCTATACACATACATCTTTGTTTGTTTTTATTGCCAGACCATTTGAAATTCAGTGATACTGTCAGGTCCCTTTGCCACTAAACACTTCAGCCTCATCTCTTAAGCCAAAGGACAGCTTCTTTGTAGTGCAAGACAATTCCACCTAAGGAACTGCCAGGAATTCAGTGTACCTTCTGATGTTCAGTCCATAATCCCATTTCTCCACAGGTCATCTCTTACCTAGTGCTGCTACAACCAAAGAGCACAAGTGGATGCCTTTAGCAAACAGAAGCGTCTTCTCTCACAATTTAGGAGGCTAGAAGTCCGAATTCAGAGTGCTGGCCAGCGCGAGGGGAAGGCGTTCGTTCTCTCTTTGTCGGCTCTGGAGAAAGGTCCTTGTCTCCTTTCAGCATTGATGTGGGCAGCATTCCTTGGAGAGTTCCATGCATCTTGGCATGCACCTTCTTCTGGATTTAGGAGCTTCATGGTGCAGGGACCCCAGATCCAAAGGACACATTCCACTCCCGCCTCTTCTTTCTTGGTGGCGATAGGTCCCTCTAAGCTCTGCTTACTTGTGGAATATCTTTTATGTCTCAAAAGAGATTGACTTCAGAGACAACTTTATCCTGTAGGTTGCATCCGACCTCATTAACATCATAGAACTGAGGATCTAGAACACAGAGGAGAATGACATCAGATCAGGGCTGGTCACATCAGATCACATCATGGGGAAGGTGAACATAACTGTCAAATGCTGGGACTCATGGCCCAGCCAAGCTGACTCATACTTTTGAGGGGATACAATTTAATCCATGACATGTCCCCAAGAATTCCTTCTCTAGCGTTTTAAAAAGCCAGAATGCAGCCCGGGTTCGTGCATTCCATATTGCTGGGTGGGTGCTTCCCTTTTAAAGTAGAATAGTCTCCACTTCTTTCCGTTAATGACAGTGACTTCTTAAGGGGTACACAGCTTCCCAGACTTGGCTCATTGTTCCCTCATGGCACTGTAGGATAAGCACTGGACTGCAAGGTCGGTTTGAACTGCGAGGTTGGTGGTTTGAACTTACCAGCTGCTCCTTAGAAACTTTGTGCAGGGTTGCTATGAGTCGGAACTGACTCAATGACACTTAACCACAACAACATTATTTTGTAGCACCCTTTTGTGTACTCCTCCTCCTGTTGTATTTCCTGTAAATGAGAACCTAGTTTTAGTTTTGGTAAAAAAAAAAAACCTTTCCCAGGTTAATTCTGGAAGTAGCTAGAAGGAGGCTCAACCAACTTACAAATTTTTTGTTTTACTTAAAACAGCATCAGACAGTTCAACCACTTTTGCCCATGTAACGGAAGTAGCTACCATCATCCTTAATGGCATGAATCACTCTGGAGAGAGCCCTTTTTCTTTTTGAGGACAACTGAGTCCAGATAAAAATAGATCCTTGGTCACTTTTTAAATAAAAAGTTGCTGAGTTCTTAATAAGTTGAATGTGTGTGATTATCATTCATTCTTTTAAAGCTTTTGTTCTATAGGATTTAGAGTTCTGATTCTTTTTGCAGTCTATCACATGTCAGTGTTATTAAATTCCTATATCTCTTTAATGAGATATTGCCCTGGTAGGATAAATACTGGACTGCCTACCACAAGGTCAGCAGTTCACATCCGCTGGCTGATCCTCTGCTCCCATAAAGATTCACAGCCTCGGAAACCCTATATAGGGTCACCATGAGTCAGAACAGACTCCATGGTAATGAGATTTTTTTTAAAAATCCCCTATCAGTATGGGTCAGTAAACAAGAAATCGAAGATTATCTGTTTCCTATTCCTAATACCTTCTCGACCAGTTTTGACTCGATTTTCACCTTCTGAAATGCTTTCTTTAGATGTGATGTTCCTGTCTTTTCCAAGCTCCAAAAGAATGGATCCTATCCAATCAGATTATTAATTAATGATTAATAACTGGTACTTGTCCTCTGTTGTATTCTATAAAATGTGGTGAAGCCATCAAGGAGGTGAGGGCCTGTGCTGCAGAGTGATTCTTGCACCCCCTCCTCTTTCCGCCAATTGCAGACTGAACTAACTATGCTGGTTAGTGCTGCCCAGTGTCTTAGACTCCCAGAATGCTTGTGAGTAGCATTAGTAACAAACACATGAAAATCTACTGTTTGTAATGACCTTGATCCTCTTCCAGAATTAAGATGTGTTTTTCTGTGTCATACACGAAATAGCATTTACTCATCAATATTGATTCTTTACATGCTGGGTACAAACTACTACAGAGGTTATGTGGGTTCTTATCATTGAGTGGTGATGAAAGTGTACTGTATGATGCGCAATATGGCTAAACTAGAAATCACTGTTAATTGGGAGTTTGGTGAATGTCCAGTGTGTTTGGTAAGTCAACCATTTAAAATGAATGTTATGGGGCTTGCCATTTGTATTAGCAATAGTTCCTGTGCTCTTTACTCAAGCCCTTACATGCTATGAAAGCTTATTTATTAACCAGCTAATCTCTGTAAAAATCAGCCTCAGCATCAGCCTATTTGGGCTTTTATGAATCTTTGATGCATGTAGCATTTGCATGACTAGAAAGGATGCATCCAGCATATAAGAATAAATTGGAGCAGAAACATGATTTAGGGAGAGTCATAGAAGTATTTGGAGTTCAGATCCAAGGATGTAAGGAACATGTGTTAAATACGTTGGGTGAGCAGGCTCTTCCAGGCATAGGGACATCTTCGATCAAGGTGATAGGCAAGGTGAAAAGTAAAAGTCAAAAGACCACGTGTGGCCAATTGTAAGATCACCCTGGAAAGAGTGAAGATTAAG